TCCCTCTGTAATAAGGGCAACTTACTAACATCTTTACTAATTTATGGGACATTTATGGGACACTGAGCACTTTTCGAAATCCAAAATGGTTGCCAATTTTTACGTAAATTTACATAAACATTCATAACGATTTACATCTGTATACTTACTATACAGTGCGTGTATATTCTTCATTTTGAAGTCTATTTGCACGTTCATAAATACAAAGGTGTACATTGGGATTTTCTTTTACATAATCTGCAAGTCATTTTCATAGAAATAGCAAAATTGCCGTCGAAACGGTATGGAAAAGGCAGGTAAAAAGATGGTTAATTACATTTTTTTCAACTGAAAAAGACCTTAAATGAATGAAATCTGCATAAGCATTGTATGTGAGTAAAATAATACGCCTGTGGTCATTGCAGGCCATAATAACACAGATTGGTTGACTATATGTTAAAAAAGGAAAAGAAATGTGTTCGTCAAAGTTCTTCTACGGTTAACCAGTTAGTCATCTCTGATGTCAGCAGTAAGCCCTTCATGTTTGAAAAATAAGGCTACTGACCAATGCAAGACATTTCCAACTTTGATTAGATTTTTGATTAGGCTTTTCCTCAGCGAACCGTCCAGCCGTCATTTTAGTCGAGTCGCCACTCCCATAGGCCAAATAGTCGAACCCTGCAATGTCCTTTCCTGTAAACTTTTTTTTTTGCTGAAATGCATTCTTCAGGCCGAGAGAAGCAAAATTAGCGTGGTTGCTATTTCCGAGACATTGTGCATTTTTCAATATGGCCGGCAATTTATGAGGAAAATTTGAAAAACGACCAGTTTGTCATCAACATAACTCAAAACGTTATGGATGAATTTCGACGGAAATTCAGGGTAGGTCAGAAATGGGTTAACTTAGAAGTCATTAGTTTTTGGTGGTGTTCCGGATCAATAATCAATCAATAATCAGAAAATGAAAAAAAACTAAGTTATGAACTGATTTTGATGAATTTTTCAGGAACTGTTAGAAGTGGGACATGGAACAGAAGATAAGTTTTTGGTGGTGATCCGGATCAATAATCGATTAATAATAAAAAATAAAAAAAAACTAAATCATTATAGAATGAAAATTTAAGGGCAAAACGGCATTGTATGGAGACTTTGCTGCCTTGGCGGAGGTCTGCGCTCTCTGAGTGCTTTTTTAGTTAACTATGGTGCGCGCTCGGCTGACAGCAATTTAGCGTGAACACCCAGGGAGTTAGGTCGATCCAGATGGGTCGATCTAAATCTCTGGGAATGCAGTCGAAGTGTCTATGGGCTAGCATGCTTACGTTTGGTACGGGCGCCGTACCATTTCTCCCACATGACCTTGAAGTTAAGTAATGGACGCCCCACGAGTAGGGACATATGGGCAATACATGGACATCATACGGACATCGTATACGACAAATGAAACTTAAGATTGGATATTTGGTAAATTTTTAATATATTTGGTCTGGAATTATGCGTACAATTTTTTAAATGTTAGCGGGCGCACCTGAGAGAAATTTCAGTCTCATATTTTTATTATTATCAAAAACTATTTGGGCGCGCGCGTGTTTGTATGTGTGTGTGTGGGGGGGGGGGGGG